GGAGGTATCACAATACCTGACTTCAAACTATATTACAAAGCAATAACAATAAAAACAGCATGGTACTGGCACAAAAACAGACATGAAGACCAGTGGAACAGAATAGAGGATCCAGATATGAAGCCACACAACTATAACCAACTTATCTTTGACAAAGGAGCTAAAAATATACGATGGAGAAATAGCAGCCTCTTCAACAAAAACTGCTGGGAAAACTGGTTAGCAGTCTGCAAAAAACTGAAACTAGATCCATGTATATCACCCTATACCAAGATTAACTCAAAATGGATCAAGGATCTTAATATCAGACCCCAAACTCTAAGTTGATACAAGAAAGAGTAGGAAATACTCTGGAGTTAGTAGGTATAGGTAAGAACTTTCTCAATGAAACCCCAGCAGCACAGCAACTAAGAGATAGCATAGATAAATGGGACCTCATAAAACTAAAAAGCTTCTGTTCATCAAAAGAAATGGTCTCTAAACTGAAGAGAACACCCACAGAGTGGGAGAAAATATTTGCCACTATACATCAGACAAAGGACTGATAACCAGAATATACAGGGAACTTAAAAAACTAAATTCTCCCAAAACTAATGAACCAATAAAGAAATGGGCAGTGAACTAAACAGAACTTTCTCAAAAGAAGAAATTCAAATGGCCAAAAACACATGAAAAAATGCTCACCATCTCTAGCAATAAAGGAAATGCAAATTAAAACCACACTAAGATTCCACCTCACCCCTGTTAGAATAGCCATCATCAGCAACACCACCAACAACAGGTGTTGGCGAGGATGCGGGGAAAAAGGAACCCTCTTACACTGTTGGTGGGAATGTAGACTAGTACAACCACTCTGGAAAAAAATTTGGAGGCTACTTAAAAAGCTGGACATGATCTACCATTTGATCCAGCAATACCACTCTTGGGGATATACCCAAAAGACTGTTACTCCAGAGGCACCTGCACATCCATGTTTATTGCGGCACTATTCACAATAGCCAAGTTATGGAAACAGCCAAGATGCCCCACCACTGACGAATGGATTAAGAAAATGTGGTATCTATACACAATGGAATTTTATGCAGCCATGAAGAAGAACGAAATGTTATCATTCGCTGGTAAATGGATGGAATTGGAGAACATCATTCTGAGTGAGGTTAGCCTGGCCCAAAAGACCAAAAATCGTATGTTCTCCCTCATATGTGGACATTAGATCAAGGGCAAACACAACAAGGGGATTGGACTTGAGCACATGATAAAAGCGAGAGCACACAAGGGAGGGGTGAGGATAGGTAAGACACCTAAAAAACTAGCTAGCATTTGTTGCCCTTAATGCAGAGAAACTAAAGCAGATACCTTAAAGCAACTGAGGCCAATAGGAAAAGGGGACCAGGAACTAGAGAAAAGGTTAGATCAAAAAGAATTAACCTAGAAGGTAACACCCACGCACAGGAAATCAATGTGAGTCAATGCCCTGTATAGCTATCCTTATCTCAACCAGCAAAACCCTTGTTCCTTCCTATTATTGCTTATACTCTCTCTACAACAAAATTAGAGATAAGGGCAAAATAGTTTCTGCTGGGTATTGAGGGGGAGGGGGAGGGTGGAGTGGGTGGTAAGGGAGGGGTGGGGGCAGGGGGAGAAATGAACCAAGCCTTGTATGCACATATGAATAATAAGCAAAAAAAAATGATAAATGAAAAAATAAAATAAAAAAAAATAAAAAACCAACACTAAGATTCCACCTCACCCCTTTAGATAGCCATCATTAGCAACACCACCAACACATAGTGTTGGCGGTGGATGCGGGGAAAAGGAACCCTCTTACACTATTGGTGGGAATGCTAAACTAGTACAACCACTCTGGGAAAAATTTGGAGGCTACTTAAAAAGCTAAACATTGATCTATCATTTGATAGAAGGTAACACACATGCACAGGAAATAAATGCGATCAACTGCCCTGTAAGCTTCCTTATCTCAACTAGCAAAAAACCCTGTCCTTCCTATTATTGCCTTATCTCTCCCTTCACAAAAGTAGAGATAAGGGCAAAATAGTTTGTCAGGTATCGAGGGGTCGGGGGAGAGGAGGGGCAGGATGTGTAAGGGAGGGGGTGGGCGGCAGGGGGGAGGAAATGACCCAAGCAATTGTATGCTACATTGGAATAACAAAAAAATTTTTAAAAACTCTAAATAGATAATCTGCCATATAGATCCCAGGCAATCCCACTCCTTGGATACGCCCAAAGGGAATGCAAAACAGGTTACTCCAGAAGGCCCTATGCAAACACTTCATGTTTATTGCAGCACGTTTTCACAATAGCCAAGTTATGGAAACAGCCCAGATTCACCCTACTGATGAATGATTTAAGGAAAATGTGGCTACTTATACACTTGTGCCGAGTGTTTTACTCCCAGCCATGAAGAAAAAATGAACCTTATCATTCTTCTCAATAAAAGATGGAACTGAGCTGAGACAACATCATTCTCAGCAAGATTAACCAGGCTCAGAAGACCAAAACAATCATAATGTCTCCCTTATATGTGGACTTTAATCTAGGGGGCAAAATACCAGTAGTGGTTCGTTGGATTGAGTCACATGCTAAGTGTGGAGAGCACATATGAAGAGGTATGGGGATAGTAGTCGAACCCAAAACCATGGAAAGTGTCTGATGGTCCCCACTGCAGAGGAACTAAAATACAGAAACCTCAAAGCAACAAACGGTCAATATTGGGAAGGAAATCACGGTACTAGTTGAAAAGGTCAGGTAGACATGAATTAAGTTAGATTGTAAACACCATTTGTACATGAAGCAATTGCTAAGGAACTCTCTCTTGTATACTATCCTTATCTCAACGAGCAAAAATGCTTTGTCTTTCTATTTTATTGCTTATACTCCTCTTCAACAAAATTAGAGATAAGGGCAGACAGATTCTGCCTGAATGTTTGGGGCGTTGTGGAGGAGGCTGGAGTAGGAGGCGAGAAATGCCCAAAAACAAATGTATGCACCTATGAGTAAATGAGAAAAAAATAAGAAAAATAGAAGTGAAACCCATGCCCCTCACTTAATTGATACCACATGATAAGAAACTGAGCTAGATGAAATCAAGAGTTAAAGGATAGCAATAGTATTTACTTTGATAACAATTGAACAGGACCCAGTTATTACAGCCCTTTCTGATTTCCATCACCTGATAGATTTTTGTATGAGCATTGGCTATAAAATCTTGTGCTTTGCTGTATGAGTTAAACTACGAATATTTGAATTTTTAAAAAAAGAAAAAAGAACTTCCTTGCCTTTTGAGCCTAATGGTAATATCTCATGCTTTCATGTAAAATTTTAACTTTATCTTTATCCTTGAAAGTTCCTAAAATAAATACAGTGGATTATTTTTGATAAACTGAGTTAGAAATTGATTTTGATCTTTTTATGTTAGTAATTATTTAAAATTTGCATTTAGTAGTTCACCCTTTCTCCACTACTCTGCCATACCTACTGCATCATTGATTTGATTTTTGAAAGTACATGTTATTTCCTATGCACCTGTATATCTATAAGATCCCTATCATATACTTCATGGTCAGCAGCCTTTCAAGGGTTAAATAGCTAGTTTATGCATTATTATCCTATTTTCTTAAAGCTATGAGCATGTGATAAGTCTTAATATGTAGAAAGATAACTAAAACTAAATAAGGTATTCTGTGTGACTTGGTATTTTCACTCTTGGATATATACCCATCAAACTGAGGGCTTATGCTTAGTAAATGTCATGTATGAGAATGTTGCTGGCATTCTCTAACAGATACAGATAGCACTGCACATGTGTATGAATGTATACATATATATATGCAATATATGAGACTTTTACTAGTCTAAGCAAATCAGAATTTGGTTTCTAACTACCACAGCACAACTTGGTATATTCTTTTTTATTTATGTATTTTTATTTTTTGGTTTTTATTTGTTTGTGGTGCTGGAGATCAAACCCAGGGCCTTATGCATGCTAGCAAGCCCTTTACCACTGAGCTCCAACTCAGCCCTCTTTTTCATTTTTAATAGCCACATTTTCTCTAAGTACATAATACCATATTATTAACTAGGAGTTTTAGTCTTGATCAATGAAAACTACAGACAATTCAAGTGTCCACCATCAGGAACATGGCAACTGGATTGTCATATGTTCATTCTTTTGAATAGCATAGAATAACACAGATAAAAGGAACTAATGATATGCACAGCAACACAGATTTATTGTTTTCACATTACTGAGCAAATACATTCATTTTGTAAAAGATTATATAATGTATGTTTCTAATTATATGAAGTTGAGAAGCCTACAAAACTCAGCAGTAGTAATAGAGATCAAAAGGTCATTTACCCTTTTGTGATTACTGACTATAAAGGGGAAGAAGAAAGCTCTCTGTGGCTGAAAATGGTCTATAGCTTGGACTGAATGATAATTTCATTTGTACATATAGATGTGTGTATGTGTGTAAAACACCAAAATTGTGTGATAAATGGCTCACGTGGTGACTCATGCCTGTAATTCCATCTACATGGAAGACTGTAGGTAGAAGGATAACAGTCTGAGGCTGGATCCAGGCAAAAACATAGATACTACCTGAAAAATAACTAAAGCAAAAAAGGAGCTATATCTTCATAAAAATGAGAAATTTCTCAGAAATGGAGGTGTGAATGGCCAGATACATTTATAATAAATTTAAAACTTGAGGAAAGACAAGCCCAGGTGGCTTCCATTTAATGATTCCAGCCAAAATATTTTCCAATGGCAATATCCCATAAAATAAAATAGACAAGACATAAAATAAAATCCTGTAAGACATTCTATTTTGCTGTACCTCCAATGTGTGAAGAAATAATGTCAGCAAAGCATTTCAAGTGACAGCTGTGGAAAGAAGACAATTGAGCTATGTTTTCAATAAATTGTATTTATGTTATTGAGGAAAAATGCTCACATGAATGTTGTAAAAAGAAAATTATCAATTTGAAAAGTATGTTTTCTTATGCAAGAGTCTTCTTAAGGCCCCTTTCATGTCTTTATTTCTCAGGCTATAAATGAAGGGGTTCAACATGGGAGTGAGCACTGTGTACATCACTGAAGAAATTATGCTATTATCATTGGTACTGCTGGGTGAGGGAAGAAAATAGAGACCAATAATTGTCCCATAATAGAGAATCACCACTGAGAGGTGGGAACCACAAGTGGACAAGGCTTTGCAGATTCCTTTGGTAGAGGGACCCCGAAGGAGGGTGAACCCAGTATGACCATAAGAAAACAGGATGCACAGAAATGGTAGCATAATGGCTGCAAACCCTGCGGTAAAGATTACCAATTGGTTGAGAGACATATCTGAGCAGGACAACTTGAGCAGAACACCAAGGTCACAGAAGAAGTAGGGGACAATGCACTTAGCACAGAAAGAAAGCCAGGTGAGGAGGAGGGTGTGCAAAAGAGCACAAGCACAAGCAATGACCCAGCACACAGCTACCAGCATGATACAAAGACTTTGACTCATGATAGTGGTATAATGCAGAGGATGACAGATAGCCACTTATCTGTCATAGGCCATTGAAGTGATAAGGAAACTGTCCAAGTCAGCAAAGAATATGAAAAAATATGTTTGTGAAATGCACCCCTTATAACAGATGGATAGGTGCTGGATCTGCATGTCCATCAACATCTTTGGAGCTGTGACTGATGAGAAAGAGATGTCAGTGAAATCCAAGTGGCTGAGGAAGAAGTACATGGGGGTGTGGAGGTGAGAGTCCAGCCTGATGAGCAGAATAATGAGCAGGTTCCCCAGCACGGTGGTCAGGTACATGGCCAGGAACAGAGCAAACAACACACCCTTCTGCTCTGACTGGATGGGGAGCCCCAGGAGGAGAAACTCAGACATGCAGCTCTGGTTCTCAGGCCTCATACTCAGATATCACCTGGGGGCTGATACTGTTGTGCATAGTTGAAAAGGATGTCTTTGAATAAGAAACTGATTGCAGCATAGGATGGCAGAGATGTCCTTTTGACTTAGGAAATGTCTTCTTTCATACTTTCTTACATTTCCCTCTTATTTTGCTGTAAATGTGGTTGAAAAAAGTGTAGGTTTCAGATATACATACACTATCTTTCTCAGCCTGGCCCCAGTCTCTGTAAGTAATTACACTAACAGTTACCTGTTTTCCCCTGGCCGCTATTTTTCAACAGCTTTCAGTGCATTTCATTATGCCTTCTTACACAGCTGCAATGTGTTTTAATAACATTCACTACCTCATTCTGTTTTCCTCTTTCTCCTCCTTCAGTCCTCTCAAACAGTTCCACTATTGCAAACATTTCTGTGTGTGTGTATGATCATATTTGTTTTTGCATATACAATTATCTTTTGAATCTATCTTCCAGATATGAAAGAAAACAATGGACCTTTTTCTTTCTAAACCTGACTTATTTTGCTTAATATTACGATCTCCAGTTCCATCCATTTACCTGCAAATGACATAATTTCGTTCTCCTTTATGGCTGTATAACACTCCATTGTGCGTATATATACCACATTTTCTTAATCCATTTATCAGTAGTAGGGCATCTGGACTATTTGGGAGGGATGATATTAGTGGGAAGGGGAGGGTGAATGGAAAGATTAAAGGAGGGTGAATATGGTTGAGGTACTTTATATATTGTATGAAAACAGAACAATGAAAACTACTGAAATTGTTTTAAGTATGGGTGGGGGACTAAGGAAGAATGATTGTTGGGACAAACTTAACCAAGTTAATTGTAAGCAAATATGGAAATGTCACAATGAAACCCCTGTTCAAATAATAAATGCTAAATTTTTAAGACATTAATCTTGAATTAAAACAGATGCAAAATTATACTTACAGTATAATATCATACCACTAAAGCACTAAACAATACTATGCATTATGAGTGGGTACAACTATTTATTAGAAGTATAAAACCATGTATAAAAGGATATTTTACAACTGCATAATAGTGAGTAATTCTAAAGATGGAGGAAGGAAAACAGGATAGGTGGACACAAATTTTGGCTGTGTTTGTAACATTCTGAGTTATTTGTTTTAAAGATCAGAAACAAGATGGCAACAGGTCATTATTTGTTACATGTGAGTGGTGGGTACAAGGGGCCATATTTTTACTTACCTATTTCTCTAAAATTATACAAAATTAGAGCCAGGCATGATGTCTCACACCTATAATTCTAGCTACTTGAGGGCTGAGATCAGAAGGATTATGATTCAAAGTCAGCCTGGACCAAAAAGTTCTTCATCTCAACAAGAAAAGGTTGATGGTGATAATCACACCTGTCATCCAAACTATAAGATGGGATCATGGTCCAGGACATCCTGGAGGAAAAGCATGGCTCAGGTGGTAGAGCACCTGCCTAGCAAGTGCAAAGCTCTGAGTTCAAATTAAGAAAAATTTAACTATAAAACAAACACTTCTAAGGTAACAGTCTCTAAAAAATTGTTATTATTTCAGGAAGGTAAATTAAAAGATAGAGAGTGAGGCATGTTTACTAAGAAGCAGTATAGCAAACTTAGGAAAAATCCACGTGATCTTACCCACAGGGCCAAGAAGAAATGTAAACTCAGGTAGAATCTGTTGGGGTAAATCCAATTCACTGCTATGCATTGTTAGTTTAATTAATGTGCTTTATTTCTGAATAACAGTCACATCTTTAAAAGAATGATTTCTGGAATAATTAATGTTAAGATACCAGTGTGCCTCCGAATATTTTCCCTGAGAATTTAAGGTTTCTTTATTCCTATGCTTTCTTACCAGCAGTTAAGATATTTTTACTACTAACATTTGATTGAAATACTTTGCCCAATCTACATAACTAGCGAGAAAATTGTCAGCCTCTATGATCATTATCTATCTGGATTTTCTGCTTTTAGGGCAGATAGTCAAATCTTGGAACGTTATTGATGTAAAGATGTATAATGAAACACAGAATTCATGTCTTCCTACATTAAGAACGGGTGAAGATTGCTTCTGCTTCATTCACAACTATTCATACACCATGCAATGAGAGGAGGGAGAAAGCAGGAATGAGAGAGAAAAGGTCCCACTATTACTTTGTCAACTACTCTCAAAGGCAACTATGTATTAACAGCCCTTGTTTCACTAACCCCACACTGAGTGAAAGGAAGAGTACAATTATGAACCACATTAATGCAACAGGTTAAAGTTTGTGTCAAATGATAACTTTCAGTGACTACAACAATGTAGCCAAATAACTCTATATGATGTTTGGATGCAGAGTCAGAATATTTATGAACACTTTATCATTAGGTATTCCAGAAACCAGTGAGAGAGACTCTGCTACTTAGTTCTAGAGGTGGAAGTCTTTTGGCACAGATTCTTGCACTTTAGATCCAAACCTGACATTAAAATTTTTATCAGCTGCGGAAAACAAGTAATAGAACCTTCTCTCTGTATTTCTTAAGATTCTTCAGATTATCTGAGCAATTTTTTACTTTGAAGGGAATAGGCAAAATTATACCTGTTTCATGTAATTTCCACTAAAACACTGAGTCTTTCATATCCCTACCCATAATAGCACCATCAATAGGTTACTGTGTCTGAAATTTTTTCAGCATGAGAAAAAAGATGTTAAATTTCCAACTAGGCTAAGTTAAAGGCAAATATTACTTGGAGAGATAATGCCATATGCTCAACACTATCACTGAGATGGAAGGTGTCCTTTGGGAAGTCAGGTTTGAGTGACAGAACTAGGATACTGGCTTCATACACAGAGGAGACAAGCAGAATGAAAGTGGAGGCTGCAGACAGTGACAGCAAATTTACTGTTTTCCCAATTTGGCTGAGATGACTGGTACAGGGTTAGACTATAGAAATCATTGCATTGTTAATAAAATATAATAAAGCACTGAATTTGTACCATGTGCTCTTAAAATACAACTCACTTGTTCCCACAACTTTTCTGATCTTCATTTTGAAGAGGAGAAAACTTGGACTTAGTGATAAAACTTGCTCAGTGTTACAGAACTAGACTATGGTAAGCCTGGGATTTGATCCCATGTCTATCTAGATTTCAAAGATTATTACTTCCCCCAATACTAAAACCCCTCATAAAATAAACCCTCAAGTAAGACAGTACTTGCTGCCTGAGAGCACTCAAGACCTTCAGGAAATTAATCAGAGTTTAAGAATGAGTCAAATCTTTGATTTCAAGATATGTGCCTGGGTGAGAATATAAATAGCACTGATAATAAAAATCAGGATAGAAATCATTCATTAATTATATACTTATTTGTGTGAACAATATAGATATGCTGCAGTGACATGTAATTTATATTTGCCTAACAGAACCATGAAATGGATGATTCTTATTTAACCAATTGGAAACTAGGGCTGAGAGTATAGGTAATTTCCCTAAAATCATAAACCATGAAAATGTAGAAGGGGTCATTCAATCCAAGATTTGTCTGATTTCAAACCCACTCTCCTAATCAATGTAATATATTGCCTCCAGCAGGGCACACTGTGGTGGAAGAAACATCTGTCTCTAACTAAGGAGAAGATTGGATCCATAACTTCCCAAAAGCCTTTGGATAGATGTATTGCCCGTGTCTTTAACTAGATGACTGGAGGTAAATAGACCAGGATACCAGTTACTGGACTTAGAAAGTTAACTATAATTTTATGGGCTGTAGGAAAAAGTCAGATAAGATGCTGACTAATGTTTTTGGTGGACTACCTACCTAGTTTCCATTAATAAGAGAAAGGTTAAGATAACTGTGGTTCACATTCATTGGAAGTAATATTACACAGTCAATAAAATGAATTCATAAAAAGCTTATGATAAGAATTTTGAAAGTATATCATAGAAATTGTATGTAAACATCTTTATAACTGTTAGTCAAAATGCAGATTTTTTTGAATTTGGAAATATGTGCTCACAGCTGTGAGGCAGGGCAGATATTCAGCAACAATATTTAGCAGATATTCAGATAATATTTTACTGTACAGAAAGTACAAGCCCCAAAGATTTATAATAATTATGTCTACCTAGGTTATTTGAGATGAAACAAAGATATTATATAAAAAAAGTATACATGATCAGTACACTCACTGCAAGATTTCATAACATACCATTAACACACACACACACACACACACACACACACACACACAGATATTGCTGAGTGGAGTCTACAAGCACAGACCTTACCTAGTTCAGTGAAAGATAAAGTCAAGTACTTTCAGCTCCATGGAATGAACCAATTATTCATTTTCTCTCCAAAAGACTCTTTGGGTTAGGGCAGGGAGATAAGTCATGAGCTCAACCCTAATGTGGAAAAGAGGCAGACTTCTTTAACCAGCTCCAAAGCAATTATAAAGGGGATGCCTCCTCACCAGCCAAGTTGGAACCCAGAGGACCATTATCACAAGTTTCTGGTGACATATAATTAGGAGGTAATTACTGTTGTTCTCTTAATATTCCCAGTGGACATGTGCCTTTGCTAAAGATACTAAAAATAGTCAACTCTCTTAAGAATATAAATGAGAATCTCTATTATTTACATATTTATTTATTTATAAATAATTTTCATGTCTTTGAGCTTATTTATTAATAACAATGATTATTGAGGTAGACAATACATTTTCCTATTTTGTTGAGCTTGACAGTGGCTCAATAGAAAATGTCTAAATTAGTTTTCATACCTAAATGCCTAGTTCTCTAAGCCTAGTTCTCTTATAATGTGATGCCTTCCTTGTAGCAATGGGCTTTGTAACATATATACTTCTTCCTTCCTACATTCAATCTAGACCTGAAATGAGAGTTGCTACTGTCTCTGGGGAATAAGAACACTTATTGAGGAATAGGGAATTTTTTTCCTTTGCACAGAAGCATAATCCTTGCATAAATGCAAGGAT